AGAAATTCGTTTGAAACTGCCAACCGGAATATACACTTGGGCCATACTTAACTACTGATGTGAAGTTAGAGATTCCATGGACATTGTTTCTTTCGGCAATATATACCTAACAAGCCAGCGTCAAAATTCTGGTACAAAATTTATGCAGGAACTCAGCCACAAGGTGTATTTTTTATCAGTAATACACCTATATACATAGAGAAAACGGTGGCTCCTATCTGTGGATCTAATCGCAATATAACTTTGAAAATCGGTACACCAGTTAAATTTCGTAAATAGTTTGCCTGAGAGACATCATCTGTCTGCACTCTCAAAATAAAAACAAAAGACAAAATGTGCCAAAACTGTTACAAGTAAATGACCGACAACTTAAGTTATCAATGTTTGCGTTTCAAAACCCAATACAATGATGCCTTTTGTCCCGAAAAGAAAGGAAAATATGTGATATTGCTGTCGTCACTCCATCATGACTATAACATAGATGACTCCACTGGCGAAAAAATGTTGCCAAAAATAATAAAGTTTTATAATTTTACGAAGGGTGGAGTAGAAACCGTTGATGAGTTATCAGGGAGTTACACCGTAGCTCGGATTTATAGACAATAGCCACTACGAATATTTTTCTCTTTGATAGATTTAGTTGGAGTAAATAATCAAATCATTTACTGAATAAAATAAAAATGTAAACACTTTCAGGAAAGATTTCGAAAATATCAAATATTAATTGAGTTATCAAGCGCGACAGATAATAAAAATATTGCTTTATTTAGTTGTTTGAAAGGTTGTAATTTATTAACCGTTCATATTTTTAATATAATTATTTATTTGATGGTAAGTTAATCCTCTAAAAAGGAATCTTCCAAGATAACTGTGATAAATGTGGCTTCGTGGTCCAGTGGTAAGGACATTTGCCTCTCACCTTGGAGTCCCAGGTTCGATCCACGAACGAGGAGCGCGCAAAAGCCCAGAATGGAGACCGTCATTCGCATAGCGTTTGTATTAGTGTTTACATCGGTACGTATTGCAAAAAGTAACTTTCAGAAAATTGTTGTATTTTGTAGTTCAGTGTTTTGTGAGTTATGGTGCAATAAATTTTGACGCCTCGCGCACATCTATGCCTTATAATGTTTGTCAAGTGGTACAAGCCCTAATTATGAACATTAAATCGAAGCTGTGAACACGATGTATGTTTTGAAAAACATATTTTTTTAATTAGTCCTCCAGCTGAGAAAAAAACGATTTTACAAAATTCGTCCCTCTAAAAAAAAGTTGTAGATATCCATTTCGACTAGCCAAATTCGACCCCTACAAGATAGTGAAGGTCCCATTTAGTTATACCTAAAAAAAAAAAAACTACCAGAAATAAGCGAGATAGAGGAGCGATTTTACTCTACTATAAGTACATTTCTTGCATCAGCAAACATGATTAACGAATTTCTAGAACAATTTTTATAAGGACCATTACTAATCAGGTCGTCTGCCCATTTATAATAGACCTTTATCTAAAAGAACAAACTTATTAACCTTATCAGCTTTTAAGTAAAAGCAATCTTTTTCACGCAATTAGTTTTCTAGCATTTGTGGAATCTGACTTTCTATGTGTGATAATATTTGTGAATATTTGAGTCCTACAAGCTTCTCGGACAAATCCTTTAGAGGAATCAGGAAGGTATTGAATTGAACTTTTACAACAATCTCATATAGAATGCCTTCAGAGGCAAACAATGCCTGTAAAAATAGTATGAATAGTGACAGAGGGCCAATCCCATATAGTCCGCTCTATTGGTTACTGAGACACGGTTCACCCAACCGTAAGAATAATTTAGGTATATATAGGATAAACTGTTAGCATAAGTTTAGTTTTAATCGTCTCCAGATGATGCAAACTTGGTTGGCAAAATGCGCGTCAAGTACAATACATGGTGTTTTGTGAAAAACTATATGTCAGTGTTAGCTCACGTCAAAGGTTCCAACCCACTTCAACTTTATTTTCAGTAATTAGGAATTAAAATCGCCACGGTGCATATGGCGCTGCGATCAAACGAATAATGACCAACTGTTTCTTGGTTTGTTTACATTCGTTTCACGTGATTTTCGGTTCTTTCTTATTTGGAAAAATGTACACTCCATCACGATTTTGGGTAGAAGAGCGTAACATAAAAAAATGGGATGTAAAAAACGCTTCATACTCCCTGAAACAACTTTTTGTATATGAGATAGGAACCAGCTGCTGAAAAATTATAAACTATGAAAAAAATAGAATGTTTCTTTAAATACAATGACAGGAGAAATAATTTTAAAAAATTATGACGTTACGAAAATATAGTATCTTAATGTTTTCCCACTTAATTAAAGGGGGCGAGTATACGACGCAGTTGTTGAGTTGGCACCATCACTTTTCTTATCCTTCCAATACCTATAGGTATTAAACTCAGGTGTTAACTTCATTTATTGCACACATATTTATCTATGCGCCCCTACTATTTTTTGTAGAGCGTAAAATAATTTTTCAGAGACGCTAGTTACTGCTAAACGTCCAGATTCTATTTTCAATCATGTTGCTAAGCGCTTTTAATTGGGAATAGCGCTTGTCGTTTTACAGACGCCGCGTACTAGGGGGCATCTAAAGTGCCTAGCTGAAAGCAGGGTAGTAAAAGCGTCCTCGCCCTCTGTGTTGTGACCGACGTTCAACCAACCGACCTTATATTTCATTATGAAAGCACCTGCAATAAACGATAGCAGTGTCTTCCTATAATCTTTACAAATCAACGTGACACGTCAAATAAAGTGCGTCATTTATTTAAGTTTATTCATATAGGTAAGCACTTTGCGTTGACAGCTATGATTACCATGGCTGGAGTTGACTAGAGAAATATAAGAAAGATAGATTACATACGTAAGAGTGAATAATAAGCTAGATTATTGTGCAGAGCAACTTTTTAAAATGAAGTTATTCATGCTAGCTACGTAGAGATACGAATGCTGAAAAAATGTATGAAACGTAGTTTCCTTTGTTACCTAATGTATAACATGAGATATACGTTTGCCAATACAAACATTATAAATTATAACAAGATAGATTTATTGGGGTTCAAAATAAAACAAAAGAAGGTTTAGTGCCATATTCCCCAAAAAGAAACAATTATGCAGCTACGGACACGTGTTTCGGAGTTACTGCCCCTCATCAGCGTAGCTAAGGAATTGGATCCACGATGGGATAGATCAGGAACAAGAACTAAAATAAGGCTGCAAAGTACAGTACACAGTACTCAATTAGTGTGTTCATGTTTCCATGTGCCACATTTGGGGCCTCGATGAGCACAGTCAACACACAGAGCTCTATGTGTACTGCTCATTTCTATCTGGCACATACAAATAATAAGATAGATTTATTGGGGTTCAAAATAAAACAAAGAAAGTTTAGTGCCATATTCCCCAAAAAGAAACAATTATGCAGCTACGGACACGTGTTTCGGAGTTACTGCCCCTCATCAGCGTAGCGTAGAGGGGAAGTAAATCCGAAACACGTGTCCGTAGCTGCATAATTGTTTCTTTTTGGGGAATATGGCACTAAACCTTCTTTGTTTTATTTTGAACCCCAATAAATCTATCTTGTTTTATTTGTATGTGCCAGGTAGAAATGAGCAGTACACATAGAGCTCTGTGTGTTGACTGTGCTCATCGAGGCCCCAAAATGTGGCACATGGAAACATGAAGACACTAATTGAGTACTGTGTACTGTACTTTCCAGCCTTATTTTAGTTCTTGTTCCTGATCTATCCCATCGTGGATCCAATTCCTTAGCTACGCTACGCTGATGAGGGGCAGTAACTCCGAAACACGTGTCCGTAGCTGCATAATTGTTTCTTTTTGGGGAATATGGCACTAAACCTTTTTTGTATTATAAATTATATTTGACAAAAACAATTTGTAGAAAAAAATTTTCTGCACACTTTCCAGAGAAAAATAAGCGAATTTCAACATAGTTCCTATTCCTTCTGTGCTGTCTCATATCATACTTGCAGGGAACCACCTTTATGAGTCATCCTAGCACTACTATTTTTTCTATTATTCCATGATTAGTGTATACCAGATTAGTAGAATAGTATAAAAAAAATCACCTCAGCAATGTGACACTAATTCGCACAAAAAGTCTGAAAATTGATTTTTTTTCACATCAAAGCACAAAATAAAAAACCGCTCCCAATTATTTGGGGATCAGAAATTCCTCACCGTAGTAAAACTCGACGTGTGGTGGAGTTTGTAATAAAAGTAATTTTTGACGATTCAAAAAAAGTCACATTTTTTGACGTTTCAAGAAAGTCATATTTTGACGTTTCAAAAAAACTCAATGTGTGGTGGAGTTTGTAATTAAAGTAATTTTTGACGTTTCAAAAATGTCACATTGGTGGAATATCGCTAATATTTTTTTTTTTGAAAAAAGTAATTTTTGACGCTTCAAAAAGTCACATTGGTGGAATGTCACTAATATTTTAAAATTTTTAATGTTAAAAAAAATGTGCCATTTCAAATTGACGTTTTAAAAATGTCACTACTATTTTTTTGCGCATCAACGAATTCAATTTCTTCCTTGATCTCTAGAATGTGTGTACCAAATTTGAAAGCTTTATCTCAAAAATTGCAGCTGCTATCACGAACCAGACAGATAGACACACAGATAGAAATTTTTTTGTCTGAAATTTTGTGTATCGTCATAATTCGTCGAGATTCGTCCAGAAATGCAATAAAAATTTTCAAAATTTTTTCACATACCTTCCTCACTGAGGGGTGAGGAAGAAAAAATATGCATTGAAATTAATGAGATATGTAGTTTATTATCAAGTAAATACCGTTTTTTCTTTTATGTTTTATATTTGGTCTTTTCCTCATTATGAGAAATTATAATGTTTACAAATCGATCTTCTAACGGTCGTATGCATAATCGTTCTCCGGCGACTCGCCAGCCGCCACTCAGCAATGAATCTGTCTTATGTATTTGTGGCTTCATGGTCGAGTGGTAAATACACTTGCCTCTCATTCTGGAGTGCCTGGTTCGATTCCCCGGTCGAGAAGCTAGGATTTCTTCTAAACCAGAAATTAATTTTAGCATACGCGGACATTGGGTGTGTGTTCATTGTCACTAAACGTGTAGAACTCTCCCGCACAAGGTGTCTTGAGATACCACAAATAGCTTGTAGCAAGCAAAGTTTCACACACTCACTCTCAAATTTAGCACATTTACAAGGAGGGACATATAAAGGATTAACGGTTTCTTCTCATTCCCCAATCACGCCATATTTGTTTAAAATTTAGGATCACAATTGTCACACCTAGCATAGACTGTTAACATTAAGAAATCGATAGTTTAGCATTTGTCCGAGGGTGGATGCAAATTTATGCTAGCCTCTTTATATAATTATAAGTAATAATAATAATAAGTAATTTATTTCATACAGGTTAAGGCACCCAATTACAGGAAGAGCTTAAAACTAAGTATACTGTGATTTAAATGCACAAATTTGCAATACACATAGTCATTAACATTACATTAAGAGTTTACAAGAAAACTCATACATAAAAGTAAAATATATTATAGTGTTATGAAACAATCTAATTTAATAAGCACAGTCTTCTTCATATATATGAATTATTTTAGCTAAACTATCATAGTTGACATCACATAAAGATGAAATGGTGTTAAAAGTTTTACACATATTAAAGATTGGTGACTTTATCATAAGGTTTGTACGAGGAGCATCGCAGTAAAAGAGGTTGTTTTGACGGGATTCTAATCTGGGGACTGATAGGTTTAGTGTACTTACAAGAAATGAACAATCAACATTGTGACTAATTAATTTATAAAGAAAGGATAAAACGACAACATCTCTTCTGAATCTGAGAGATTTAAGGTCAAACATATTAAGCAGTATATTGTTGTCTGTACCTCGGGGAGGATAAGATCCATTACATTTGAAAAACATAAATTTCAGACATTTGCGTTGAACTGATTCAATGCATGACAATGAATTTTGATATATGGGAAACCAAATAATACAGCCATACTCCAATTTACTTCTTATAAATGATATGTATAACAGTTTCATGGTGTCAATATTCACAAAACCGCCCCAATTTCTTACTAAAAAACCTAAGTCTCTAGATGCCGATTTGACCATTTCATCGATATGATTGTTGAAAGTAAGTTTTGGGTCAAAAATAATTCCCAGATCCTTATAATTCACACAACGATCTAATATGTTATTATCTTTTATATTGAAAGGTAACTGTAGTGTCCTTCCTTGTATATGACATAACCCTACATTTGCCAATATTTAACTTTAGAGAATTGACCGAGCACCAGCTAGAAATTTTATTAACTTCATTTTGCAGTAAGAATACAATCATCCTCTATACAACTTATCTCTAGGAAAATTTTGAGATCATCAGCAAATAGTAGGTGGTGAGAATTAATATTAGCTGTTAGGTCGTTAATAAAAATAAGAAATAAAAGGGGTCCTAAATTTGATCCTTGCGGAACTCCCGCAAAGCCGGTGGCGAGTATTGAAATAACGCAGACTTCTGTTATGAGGACTATTTCTAGCAATTTCATTGGCCGTTTCAAGGCCACGGCATGGCGTGCTCATCAGATATCATTTTTAAAGGGGAATTCGGCACCGTGAAAATAAACAAACTATAATAAAGGGCAAGGAAAATAAAGAAACTATAATAAAGGGCAAGGAAAATCTTACTAACGAACTAAAAAATACTTATTTAAAAAAGAAAATAACAAGTTTGTGATACGAACCCTGGACCTACCGCGTGCTAGGTGAGAATCTTCTCTATCGTCTAACGAGTTTCTTGCTGACAAACGATTCCAAAAAGATTTAATACTTTGACATGTCATGTAACTGCGCATGCCCTGCGGCTATCTTAAAACGGCCAATGAAATTGCTAGAAATAGTCCTCATAACAGAAGTCTGCGTTATTTCAATACTCGCAAGCCGGTGACCGTTTTCATCCATCGCTGCCCATAACACAGAGAGGTTCTCTGTGGCCCATAATTTAACAGTGTTGTGCACGTGTTTGGTTGGATGATAGAATTGTCTGGCAGTTTTCTTAAGAGAAAATTTATTATTATTAGTATAGTATATAACGATTATTTAACGATTAAATATTATGGCGGATAAAGACATGATATTTTTATCTAAAGACTTCTTAACTGATTTTATTTAGTTGTATGAAAGTTTTCCGTGTCTGGAAAATAAGTCCAAAGAGTATGTTAACAGAAATTTAAAAAGTAACGCATATGATGAGATGGTAACGCTGTGGTATTATATTAAAAACTTGTTAAACAGAGTATAGCCTTTCTTTTTGCACTGTTCATAGTAAATATAAATTATGCATAATGTAGTTTATACATACAACATTAGTTACCATGTATCATTTAATAAGACTTTCGACTCAACGAAAGTCCACGGGCCAGGCAAAGAAATGGGATTGTTCAACAGTTTTATACCATTAACACAAAGTATTGGACTTCCACGGACTTAATAAACAACTTAGACCGCAAAACTTTATTTCATGTTAGTGGGCAATGAAAGTACTGGTCTGTCAGAGACCAAACCTGACGGACCAGATCTGTCATCCAAAGCATGTGTGTAAGACTGTAATGTATGGGCTACTATTGCTTGTTATCTACAGTAACCCATTCGGTTTTAAATTTTTGTTTGTAAGTTTTATTGTGATTGAGTTTCCTACGTTTTATTTGGACAGCTTCGTTACTATCACTATCATTAGCATCCTCATCCTCACTATTATTAGTTGAACAATAAGAGCTGATATCATAGTTCTTATCATTATTATTGCCAGTTTGTCCTGTTTCGTACCCCGCTGGTACTTGCATTATTTGCAGTAGATGTAGGAATTAAGTACCTATAAAAACAGAATATCAAGACAAATGTAGCGTTATATTATGTTTTTTATTTACCTGCGTAGTGACATTTTGTAGATAAATTTATTAAGATTATACTGCATTGTCTTAATAATGACCATTTCTTTGTTTAGATGGTGTTATAACTAAAGTTGGTATATCAGTCAGCAAGTCATGGGCGGTGCCAGGTAGAAAAATGCCCAAATACGTAAGCGAGATTTGTTTACTATTTCAGCAAAGACTAACATTCGATTTTAGTCTATTGTTATACCACGTGGTGTGTACAACGTAATTTATCCCTCTACGTTGTATTGTTGATAATTCTATGTATTTTATTCATGACATTAATTTAATAACAAAGTATGTCAGACCTCCCATGGGTAAAAAACGGTCATACGCTGACAAAGTGAATAAAATTTATCAGGAATTCCTTATTCCAGTTCCAATTTAATCAGATTTATTTCCTACTTTATATACATTTGTAATTAAGGCTACTTTTTATTTTATTTCATAAATAAATATATACAAACAAACTATATAACATGAGGGACAAAGTTGACAAAAAATGGTATCCAGCCAGGACGACAATACCGTCCAGGTACGGCTGGGCCCTCCTGCTTGCCGGTGTTGTGGCAGATCATGTCATTTTTCACCTTTTATCATTGTGCATGGAGGCATTTTCCTTCATAGAAACAATGTATTATAATTCATAAAACTTAAAGAAATTTTAATATTTAAAAAAGTCAGTTTACAGAGAACATGTGGGTGATTGTATGTACACAGGAAAAACTCCAAAAACCTGCTCAAAATAATGATTTTTTTATTTTGAAAATAAAAATTGACTTTACGTCTGCTGTGGGGTTTGGTGTAGGGAAGGCGTGTCTACGTATTGTAAGACGTGAATTCCCGGATTGATTCTACAATGGTGCTATAATATTTTGTAAGGTGTGCGAGACAGACCTGATGTGATGGAACAAACGTGATTGTAAACGTCACGTAAATTATGTGCAACATAAAACTAAAAAAAATGGCGTGCCTTGGACAACAGTTTATGTTCGATTTACTCCGAATGCTGATTGCCTGTGATATTCCGCTGCACATATTCGATAAACAACCATTTCAGGAGTTCTGGAATAAATAGAATCCCAAGGTGAAGTTACCAAGTCGCACAACGTTGCGTACCAACTGTAAGCGAAGACATTGGAAATAAGATCAAATGTGTACTAGAAAATACACTGCTGTGGTTATGTGTTGACGGGACGACAGATTGTAAAAAAAATCTATTTTAAATGTTATAGTACTTGAACTAGACCATCTTAAACCGACATTTCCACTGTTACTAGCTAGCAAACGACTAATTGATTGTACTGGCCAAATAATTACGCGGGTGGTGCTGGAGACGTTAGAAAAATTTGACCTTTCAGAAAGTCAAGTGTTAATGCTTGTGACCGATGGTGCCGCGACAATGCGTTTAGTAGGCCGCTGTCTTCAAGAACACGGTTGTAGGTTGGTACATGTTACGTGTAAAGTGGATGCTTTACACCTTGTGGCAGAAACTATTCGACAAAGTTTTCCAGAGGTAGATGCATTAATAGCAAGTACAAAAAAAGTGTTTCTTAAATCTCCTAAACGTGTTCGCGCATTTCATAGCATACATGATGCTGCAAAATGTTTACAGATCTTTTCCAGTTTGTGATAACCAAGCTAGTTAAGAGGGTAAGTTGTGCATACACTGTTGTACATTGTAACAGTTTATTGTTTTTATTACTGGTTAATTTCTTTTATTACACTTATTATGATGGGTACGCCTATGTCCAGCGGCGCAGTTTTGCCAACTCTAGTTATAACCCAAATGAATCAAAATGTTGTTTTTGCCATAAGTTCAAAACACCCTGCGGAAAGTTTTTGGCACTGAATTTTGTTTAAAATAATTTGGCATTCCAAACATTTTGTTTTTTGAATCATCCCATTATCTCGAGTTGCAAATTTTTAAATAAAACGATGATTTTAAAACGTTTTTTATTGAAACTTTAACAAAAACTAATGAAATAAATTAATAACATTTTTTTTACAAGTTTTATTAGCTTGTATGTCCACCTCTAACAGCAATGACAGCGCGCAGTCTCCATAGAATGAATAAGATTTG